AAAAAAGGTGCATGGTTCAACTTCCTGAATCCAAAACTCCCTACAAAGCTACAGTAACCACAACAGCATGGTACTGGAATTAAGTCAGATACATAAACGAGTGGAATAGAACAGAAAGTTTGCAAACAGCACACATACATAGTTGGATTATTTTTTTAGTTGGATCCTTTTTCACGAGGGTATCAAGACCATTCCATGGGGAAAATATTTCAGCAAAGAGTGCTGGAAAAACTGGATACTCACTATCAAAAGAATGAGGTTGCACCCTTACTTAAAGCACATTTTAAATAACACTGAACACATGAAAGCCCAGATATAAAACCTAAGACTGTAACCCCATCTGAGGAGAAAATGTGGAGGAAAATGTTTCTCCAAAGAAGATACACGATGGCCTACTCTTTGAGCCCAAAGTTCCAACGATACAGGCTCTAGAGACACCCACACTCTCAAGGGCCCGTGGCCTTGTGTGGGAAGCAGAGTTACAGCACAGCAATGACGAAGAAGGCAGAAAGAAACAAACCCACCAAGGCAATGCTCAGGAGAGAGCTGTTGGAACAGATGTGGGTAGGGGCTCGGGGAAAATTTTGCAAGAAAGTGCTATTCCCTCTGATCTCCATTTGGACAGAATAGGTAAGGTGAAACAGTAACACACCTATATTATACAAGGGGTGAAATGGGCTTTTATTTATTGAATATTTATAATGTCTAATATGACTCTATCTAAGAATTTAAGCTACATCCATAATTCTTATATTTTTGACATTTCAGTGTCCCTTTGTACTTTTAAACACCCTTGAAGACCCCAATAAATTTTGTTCAAATTCTTTATACCTACCTATATAGTTATACAATATGATAAATTGACATTGAGAAAAAATGTTAATTTAAACCTTAAGTTTAAAAACTAAGAGGTATTAACATAACACCTTCCATGGGTAATGATCGTATTCTCAAAACAAAAATTAATAATAAAGGTGGTTTTGTTGTACAATTTGCAGATCTCTCTAAGACAGGAGGTCGTCAGGGGTCGCAGTGCGGGAAAGCCGATGTCTGCAAGGAAATAAGTCAGATTCCAAGGTCTTCGAGGAGGTACAGTGTCCAAAGGCACACATGTCCCACTGTGAAGTAACTCACTATTGAAGAAGGAACAAATGTTGCTTTTCCTTTCAAAAGAAAATGGAACCGTCTCACACCCACATACAGACCACACAGCCCTGGGCCTTTGTGGCCACTGCAACACTCAGAATGTAACAATGCCAGCAGGATCGGGATAAACCAGAGCGCTGGGGCACAGTGGGTGGGAATGTGAGTAGACTGGAGGAAGTGTGGAATTCCTCAACAAGTTAGAAACACAATTACTATGTGGCCCAGCAACGCCAAGTCTGGGCGTTCACCCAAAAGAATTGAAAGCAGAATCTCAGAAGGAGATTTGTAGCTCTTTCTCTGCACACACCGAAGATCCTGCTGTGGCCATGTCGTGTACCACGCAGTGTCACCAGTATTGAGAGGGCCCCACAGGGTCCCTGATGCCGAGATCTGCCTCTTTGACAGGGGCGAGGAGAAGTCCAGGGGGTGAGTTCACACTCTGCGGCCGCATGGTGTCTGAGGCTCACGAGCAGCTCTCTCCTGTAACTCAGCAGACTATTGTCCTGCAGACGTGACGCTCAGGTACCCGTGGGAAGGGGACGCGGCCCGGCCAAGGCCTTGTGTCACCTCCCACACCAAGTCACAGGACAAGGGACACGCGACTGGGGCCCCGAGCAGAGTGTGTTCAGGATCCACATCAAAGGGACCTGGGCCTCAGAAGCAAGGCTCCATCCACCCAGTGCAGTGCGGGTGAATTTGAAGGCGTGGAGGCTGAGCAGCGGCTCGTCCGGGATAGCTGGGAGACACAGCTGCCCCCGGCACTGACCCACAGGACCAGCTGCAGGCCCTGCTCCCACCGGGCTGCCCCCATCCCACCCACCAACGACAAATCCCATCCGTGTCAAAAAAGGGAAACAGGCAGAGATTTGTGTACTCGTGTTTATAGCAACATTATCCATGACAGTCAAGAAGCTGAGCCCTGCATGGGGCCATACACCTGTAGTCCCAGCACTCTGGGAGGCTGAGGCAGGAGGACCACAAGTTCAAGCCCAGACTGGACAACTAAGCGGCTTCACATCTTAGAAATTATTGTAAAGGCTGGGCCTATAGCTCAGTTAGAAGGCTCTGGGTTCGATCCCAGTCCCAAAGTAGGGGGAAAGTTGTAGCCACCCAAGCACCCCTCAGCCATAAAAGGAAGATCATTCTAGAACATTCTAACACATGTCACAGCACACGGCTGCACCCAGATGTACCACGCTAACTGGAGCAAGCGGCGGCCGAAGAGCAGCCGCTGCGCAGCTCCCCGGACACACGGTGCACCCCGGGTACCCAGGTGCTCATGGGGAAGCAGGGGCGCGGGACCGAGCAGAGCTGCCGGCCGGCGCGGGACGGGCGTGGCCGATGCTGAACGCTAGCTCTGTCCACCCTCCTCCCAGGTAGGGACCTCCGCGGTCAACGCAGGACGCGGGCTGCCTGGAAACAGTAGTGGGGAGAGCGCGGTCGGCGGCGGGGCGGCCAGCGCAGTGCCCAGCGTGGGGACCTCGGCGTCCGGAGCAGGGGGCAGAAGGGTGTGGCGGCCCTGCAGAGTGTGGGCGGGAGACCCGCGTGGGCGTGCAGCTTGCTTGTCAGTGGGGTGGTCCCCGAAGTGCCTCAGTTCACACACACTCACACACTCACACACTCACACCATCTCTCTCACACACACCATCAGTCACACACCATCACACACAGTCCACACA